CCCTCCAGCGCCTGCTTCAGCTGATCCGGACCCACATAACCCGTCACTTTGGCTCTGGTGTTGATGTGGGAGAGATCGGCGGCCACTCCCGGCGTGTGTGCGATGTCGTAGAGACTCAGTTGCGACACGAGTGGGCTGTGCTTCAGGAGCAGCGATAACGGCTGTCCAATGCCTCCCGACGCCCCCAAAACGGCCACTTTTGAACGCACCTACGGGTCAGACCACGGATTAGATTAAATTCAGTGATTTGGACGCAAAACATAGCTTTCATTTGGTTAGCGAGTAATCAAATGAAAGTCATTTTCAGGCGAAAAGGCTGTCAATGGATTCAATGCGAGACCTCCGGAGTGGTGCTGAAGGAGCGGATCCCCTTCGCGCAGACTTGCGATAAGATAGTCTTCCGCAGCATTTTGTGGTTAGTTTTGAGGATAATTGAGCCCTAATTCAGTCGACAATCCAAACCAATCGATAGCCAACTCTTGAGATAAGCTGTCAGTGAAGGTCACCACAAGTCTAGGCTCACACTGAATGCCAGTCTAAGGCTTGCCATCAATTATGGCGTGAATTGAATGCAACACTAAAACTCATTTTACGGACAATTCAGTGACTTTTATTGAAGTCTTAATTGCTTTTTCAGTTCATTAGTATACAAATCGTTTAATCAATGGTTTTGTGAATCAATTGAAAGTTTGTGTCAAATATTAATTACGAACCAAACGTTTGGATCACTTGAGAGACATTGTGTGTGTGAGAGGCCATCAGATCACGTGATTGGCATTCAGACAGTCGTTTCAAAAGTCAAACAAACGATTGACTCTTTTTCACCGATTCTTCAGATTCTTGGATTCATTTGTCGTTTGTTGAGACAATTGGATACAAATGGCAGACAAGAAGTAAATATTCTATCCATTGAGCCAATCATTTGTAGTAATAATTGTCTCATTGAAGGTACGGTTTGATCCGACTGTCCAAAGCCAACAAACCGGTCACTACTCTCAAGAAGAATATCTTTGACAGCGATTCCGATGATGAAGACGCGCCACAGGTAGTGATAATCGTGTCGTTGAATGCTTTCGTGTCTTACGTATTGATTGTGGCTTTCATTTGACTGCAGGCGTCGACCAAAAAGCCGGTCAATACCTCTTCGGGACTCAAACGACAGACACAGTTAGACATCAGTCGAGCGCTCACTGAAGACCCGAATGTCTTCGAATACGACTCTATTTATGAGGACATGAAGTCGAAGAGCGAGTCGATCACCGAAACGGATCCGCAGAACGCGGAGAAACCGAAAGCCAAATATATAAACAATTTGTTGAAGTTTTCGGAAAATCGCAAAAAAGAGACCGAAAGGCGAACCGAACGTAAGATACAGAAAGAGAGGGAACGGGAGGGCAATGAGTTCGAGGATAAGGAACAGTTCGTCACCAATGCTTACAAAGAGAAACTTCAAGAACTGAGAGCTCAGGAGCTGAGGGACCAAAAGGAGCAACAGATTGAAGGTATGCACCACTCGTCGGCAAACGATTTGATTGGCAGTTGTTTTCATTGATTATCTGTTGTTTGCAGAGCTCTTGGATGTGAAGAAACAGCAGGATTTGTCCGGTTTTTACAGACATCTCCTGAACCGTGATATGACGGGCCAATCGAATCCATCGGTCGCTGAAACGCCGCAAGAATTGCCAAAAGAAGTCCCAAAAGAGATATCGAAACCCAAAACGAGTCGACAGTTTAGACGCAGAAGAAGCTCTTCGGAAGAGTCGGAAGAGAGTCCACACAATGTCGAGACAACTGCTGTGAAAAACGAGAATAAATCAGAAAACAAGAGCCAAACGGAGGTTAAGGCGGAGGCCTCTGATGGTGAAGACGATGACGAGTCCATTGACTCGAATCCAGACGCAGACGCCGAAAGTGAAGTCAAACCAACGAAACCAACCGTTGGTTCAAACGATGAGAACAACAGTGCGGTGACTGAGAAGACGGAGACAACGGAACCAAAAGTGGATAAAAGAGAGCTTTTATTACAGAAATTTACGAAAAGAACTGTTGGAGAGGTCTTCAGTTCGGCTCAAATGAGATATTTTGAGCGGAAGAATAAATACGTTATTTAAGGATTAAAACACATTTTGTAAATATATATTAGTTTTGATAAAAGTTTCATTTTTTAAGTTATATTATGTGAATAAATAAATTAATACAAAATCAGAATTGTTTTCCAAACCCAACGCTAAAACTGTTTTGACTCAACGAACCCAAGAATTCTCTGCGAAAAAGAGACAGATTTATGAATAACTAATGATTTATGAAATGCTGTAATCATTTATACCCCAAATCGTCGTTCACTTCATGGCCTGAATGTCTTGATTGACTAGAATTAGAGCCAATGCTTGAGATGTCAATCATTTTCGAGATTTTCTCCAATTCGCGATCGAGTGGTGAACTGATGTATGAATAGTTCGGTGAAAGGGAACCGTTGTCTCCGCTCTGACGCCCTTTCAGTTCGCTTTTGGCGTTCATTTGATGAGAATTTTGGCTCAGATTATAGTTTTTGATGAACTCTTTGACCACTTCGAAGGTGACCAACGAGTATCCGAATTCATTATTTTGCGGTAAATTCCAACTGAATGTCTGAATGAAATTGATTTCACTTTCGAAACGTTTCGGTTGAACGGCAGTCAACACACAGATCACGGCAGCGATCAAGTCGTCGGACATAATACAAATGGGTTCACTCTTTGCCACTAACGGGAAGTGTCTCTCTTGAACCGATTTGTTCATCTGTTCCGTCACTAAATCCAATGTCTTTCGCAGTGAATACAACTTCTCGAGAGGCGTTACCTTCGACTCGATTCGTGACAACTCTTCCCTTATGATCGCATTTATGGTAAAACTTTCAAACACTTGTTGAGACCCGAACTCTACTGGATTTATGTGGCGTTCAGACATTTGCGTGAATTTATTGTACAGTAATTCGTCTTCATTTTTATAGCATTTATTGATTGCGTCCAACAGTTTGGGATCAGTTAAACCAATTATATAACTGTTTATTCGTGGCATTTAAAAGTATTACTGATTATTGTACGCAATGTTTAGAAAATATAATTTCCTTACCTTTCTATCGCTGAATCCAATTGCGAGTCATTTGTTGCCATTTCGGGCAAATTGGGAAGACTTTCAAAATTCTGTATCGTTTTGTACAAAATATATTCATTGAGTTTATGGCAAATCGTAAGCATCGGCTGAAAAACAATACCTCTATTCCCCAGTCAATGATTACTTTGAACCGGTCTTTGGCATCGTTTAGATATTTCGGTAAAATTATATACGTTTTCATCATTTCCTCCACTTTTGCTTTCAACGAATCGGTTAATTGTGGCGATAGTTTGCGCAAAAAACTTTCGCAACTGTTTCGTACAAAATCGCAAAATCACTTATAATTGACTGCAAAGTTTGCAATGATTTCAATGACTACTCACTCCGCGAATGAGATCAACGAAACGTTTTGTGAATTAGTTTTCGTCGACTCATAACTCGATTGCCTTTTATTGGACTTTATTAACGGCTTCTCGCAGATGAGTATCCGGTAGTCCTTGTTTTGCTGTCAAATGCAATCAATTAATGGTTATTACGGTATATTTGCACCAAAAATGTTGTATCATTTCTCACGTAATTGTAAGCAATCTCTTCGCTTAATATCTGAATTATTTCGCAATTTTTATCACCAAAACCTGAAACCAATTTCATTATAAATAAAAAGTTCAAAACAAAAATAAATGATAAGAAATATGTGTCGGACCTCTTGTGACCCGAAGTATCTGTTCATCGATTTCCACATCAAATGTATGCTTATTATTGGCGGCAACGAAATGACTGTCAAATGACAGTACAATTAAATTGAATGTTAATTTTGATGTCAAATGTAAAACATTGAAAAGGCTTACGATTTAAGTAAAGGCGAGTCTTTGAGTATATGAGCGCTGATGAAGTGATCGTTAATGACATTGCATTCATAGCTATCATTGATGGGCACTATAATGGTGTGACACTTGTTCATGGCATCCAAATACCTCTTGCGGAATGTTTTCTGGAGATAATGGTTAAGACAATTGCCAATCAATAGGTCAACCTTTCATCAGACGATTACTTACCACAAGCGTGTTGTAAAATATATTCTTCTGCAGCGAAGTCATGGCAAATGCTGTCTCTTATGAGAGTTTACTTCATATATCATATCAAATGACTATTAAATCAATGAATGATTAATCAATTGTTGGCTTAAAGTAAATGTCAGTCATATGAGTGTATGTCAACAATCATCATCACTACCATTCATATATGACATAACCATTCATATAAAGGGGAGGGAGTGCTAAATGTCACTGCAATGCACTGTAATATTATATGAATAATTGTAAAGGGATTTTATATTCACATTTATTTGTCACATATTTTGTGAACAATTATGATTTAAATAGATTTAAAGGGACAGAGAGTAGAGGTGTCGACGGCTGTGAATACATGTGACGAAAGAAGTGTTAAAGTGACGATCACTTCAAATATGTTTGTCTTGAGTGTCCTCTTCTACTCTTTGTGTCCATTAGTTGTGTTGTATTTGCTTTTGAAGAGATATATCAGATCCGCGGACAAGAGGTATCGCACGGAAAATGGTCTCAACGATGGCGTGAAGATCATAGCCTTCTTCCATCCCTTCTGCAACTCAGGCGGTGGTGGAGAGCGGGTCCTGTGGGTCGCCCTCAGAGCCCTTCACCACAAATACCCTGATTATCATTACGTGGTCTACACGGGTAAGGCATCCATGACTTGATCGCTGCGATTGTGTTAATGTTTGGATGTAATGACAGGTGATGTGGAGGCCGCGCCCGAAGATATCAAAGCTAAAGTTAAAAAGCAGTTTCAAATGGACTTAAACTTTGCAATCAGTTTCGTGTACCTCAAGAGGCGATATCTCATTGGTTCCCATTTGTATCCAGTCTTCACGCTTTTGGGTCAAAGCATTGGCTCAATGTTTCTGGGCTTTGAGGCCATCTTCGGGTGCGTTCCCGACGTCTTCATCGACAGCATGGGCTACGCCTTCACGTTCCCGGTGTTCAAGTATTTGGGTAACTGTCGGGTCGGCGCTTACGTCCACTACCCGACCATAAGCACCGATATGTTGGATATGGTGGCCAACACTCGCACGTCTTATAACAACCGGCAGATTATAAGCAACAGTCGAGTGCTAACGAGTGGTAAACTCCTGTATTACAAGCTCTTTGCATACCTGTATGGAGTGGTCGGCCGAATGGCGCTCATAGTTATGGTGAACGGGAGTTGGACTCAGAGGCACATCGAGAGGATTTGGGACCGAAAGGTGGTCCGAGTGTATCCGCCCTGTAATACAGATGAGTTGAAACGCCTGTCCCTTCAAAACAAGAAACACCTGCAGATCGTATCGATCGGTCAAATCAGACCCGAGAAGAACCACAGCTTACAACTCACGGCATTCAAAGAGTTCGTCGATAGGCTGTCCACCGAAGGCGTGGACTCCGAGGGCGCAAAACTGGTGATAATCGGCAATTGTCGCGACGATGGGGACCGACAGCGACTCAATGATCTCAAGAAACTGAGCGACAGTTTGGGAATCGCCGGTAAAGTGGACTTCAAGATAAACATTCCGTACGACGAGCTTAAGAGT